ATATATATACATAAGCAGTATATGCTGCTGTATATATATAAATATATATATAAACATATATATTCATATATACATATAAACAGTATATGCTGCTGTATATATATATAAATATATATATAAACATATATATACATTTATATATACATATATACACATATATATATACATAAGCAGTATATGCTGCTGTATATTTATATATTTATATATATACACACAGCAGCACTCCTGTGTGGATACACTTGTGTCTCGATCAAATTTTCCCCATTAAAAAAAACTAAAACTGTATATATTTATTATTTTTTAGTGTCAAATAGACGCCCCCCACAGGAGCACAGCAGAACAACGTCTGAAAATCAAAGCAGATGAGCTTTGACTCTGACTCTGATCGGTGACTCACCTGGTCCGGTCCACCGTGACGCTGTCACTGCCTCCTCTTTACGTCCCTCCTCTTCTTCCTCCCCACCACTCAGCATCAGACCTGGCTCCTCCTCCTCCTTTTCTCCTTCATTATCTTCATCAATGTTTAGACTTTCACTTCCATCATCTTCTTCTCCTCCACCTTCACCTCCTCCTCCTCCTCCTCCTCGTGAGTCCTGCAGCTCTGGAAACACAAACTAGCCGTTAGCTTCTATCTTCTAATCAGTGAAAAATCAAAGTGTCTTCAGGACTCACTGAAACACGAGGTCACGTGAGGTCACAGAGATCACGTGACCTTAAACTGGACCTGTACGTTCTCCAGACCACGGGGAACACGATGGAACAGAAAGTTTTCCAGTACGGACAGAGTGAAGACAATTCTGTACAGTAGGGGGCGATGTTCACCGTCCACCACATCAACCAACTACAATGGACTGGGTTTAATGTCAGATTAAAATTCTCATTTTTAAGAATTTGAATTTTCATTGTGACAGCCACCTCCTCCTCCTCCTCCTCCTCCTCCTCCTCCTCCTCAACAGAGACTGAGGTTTCTGAGTTCATCTAATCAGAGGTGATATTACTGCCATTGATCAGGCTGATAACTCCACTGATTAAACAGCTCTGTGTGTGTGTGTGTGTGTGTGTGTGTGTGTGTGTACCCAGACCTTTGCCTCTCCATCAGCAAATGAACTCTGGGTAAATTTGTCAGATTATTAGGTTCAGTCACAGGTTATCTGAGGTGAAGATCTGCTCTGTTACTCCTGCTTCTTCTTCCTCCTCCTCCTCCTCCTCATCATCATCATCATCAGCTTCACTAACTCTTCCTCCACCTCCTGCTTCACCTCCTCACCTCAGTCTCAACCAGTCTTCATCCTTTGATGAAGGAAAAGTTGCAGTAACCCATGTCAAAAGTTAGGAGGCGACATTGTGGGTGACTTTGTCCTGCAGCTGTGAAGTTTGTCTTTATCAGATTGATGGAGTCTGTCTCTGTGGAGGAGGAAGAGGAGGAGGAGGAAGAGGAGGAGG